CTGCAGTGGACATCCACCAGCCCACTAATCCACCAGCCCACTAATCCACCAGCCCACTAATCCACCAGCCCACTAATCCACCGGCCCACTAATCCACCAGCCCACTAATCCACCGGCCCACTAATCCACCAGCCCACTAATCCACCAGCCCACTAATCCACTAGCCCACTAATCCACCGGCCCACCGGGGATTCCCCTGGTAGCCCCGTATGCCAGTCCGCCCGTTATAATAGCATTATGAAATGATCAGAATACTAATGCTATTTATATAAAATATTTATTGACAGCACGTTTTTTTTACAAATTAAAAATATATATAATTTATATGTTGTTGGAATGAACTTAAATAATAACATTTTTACAAAAGACATCACAGCTTAATAGCTGCTGAATCTGCAATGTTAACCATTCAGTAAAAACATTAAGACATCTAAAAAAATTGGTGTAGCTAAAAATCAGAACTGAAACACATTCATACAAACAAAAGACCAGAATGATAACAAAAAAGCAATAATACAAAATCCCAGTAAAAAAAGTTGCATAATATTTACGTACAATCATCAAAAATATTGGGACTGTTTTAACTAAAAATCAGTAAACTGCTACTAAGAATAAAGGCAWAAAAATGAGTTTGGATGTGGCGTTTTTAGATTACTGTATCTGTTACAATATAAAAATTGTTCAGATTTGCCAGTGACATCTGTAAAACTATGTTGCTTGTTTACATCTCTTAAAGGAACCTTATTGATACTGAAAAAAGAGTTAATCTATTCTGGAGTTCCCTGAACATGCACAAAAAATAAACATTCTGTATATACAGGTGTAGCCTAAAAAATGCATGTCGTATGTAAAATCATGTTTTTTCATAACAAAAAGCCAAATCAAGTAAAACATATACATCTTATTTTAGCATGAAAATAACTTTTAAATAAAAAAAAACAACCTTTATACAATACAAACATAACTATGCTGTGCTACACAAAGCAAATGCACAAAGTACATAATATTAGGTCAAATTTATAGATCAAGAGTGTGTGAACGTTGAGCACTGTGGGTAAGTGGTTAAATAAAAACATATAAAATAGGAAGAAAAAACTAAACATTAACCTCTATGTGAATAAAAATGAAAGCTTCAGCTTATTGCATGCATACATGAATATATATTCTGTGAAAAGAAAGTGTACAGTTATTTTGCAAAGTAAAAGCACAGACAAATTTGTTGGCACCATTTTATTAGACAGAAAATCCACAAAGGTCACTGAAATAACTTGAAATCGACAAAAAAAAAGGTAAGCCATTGGTTCTGAATCCTGTGCTGGGTAACTGACAATGTATAGGAGCACATAAATTTTGAATTTAGCTGGTCTTAACACCAAATAAGCCCAGAAAAGAGTGAAACTAGTTTGACTGGAACATGTTAACCTGAGGTTTACCCTGTAATCAGCATCACCTGAGGTGTCATCAAGCTTGTAATCAAGCTGTCTGTCTGATGAAAAGTAGACAATGTGACATGGTGTGTTTCACACTGAAGACAGGTGACAGAAAGTTCAAGACAGAGTTGTTTCAGGAGCTCACACAAAAAAATGGACATACATTAAAGATAAAGTCAACCACAGCGCCACAGATTGTTCAGAAGCGGAAGTGAAAAGTTGATGACAAATTAAAGAGAAGGCTTTGACAAAGGGAAACCAAACAACCAGAACAACTTCCAGAGACATCAGAGGTGATACAAAGGTCAAGTTACTACATTAGTGTCAGATCGCACCATGTGTTGCTTTTTAACCCAACATGGATTTAATGGAAGATGACAGAGCAGATAAAAAGTTCTGAGAACACAAACCTTCTGGGAGAATATCCATTCAACAGATGAGACAAAATAAAACGTTTCGACAACAAATCACATCAGTTTACAGACAGAGACACAGTACAGTGAAATATGGAGAAGTCATAATTATTGTCTGGAGTTATTTTACTGAATCTGACTGCAATGAAACCTCATACTCTGTCATATTTCTCTGGTGTCCTTATTMGTTTCTTGGGAAACTTTATTTACGGTTTTATTTTGTATTAATAGATYTGTTTCTACATTTCTATCAAAATTTTGTCTTGTATGATGTTGCGTAATTTAATCATTTTGAATATAACTTGAACTGTTATCAATGCATTTTGGATAAATATRTATTAGCCAGAGTCAGAAATATTGGCATTAGTCACAAGTCATGTGTCCTCTAACAGGATAATGACAAAACACACAGCTAAATACACCCAAAAACAAACCATCAAACATCTGTCGAAGGGGCTGAAACGTTTAAACCTTAGACAACTAGGGCTTTCATAGGAAGTGGGACAAAATATTTGTGGACGAATACAGAATCTCAGAGAATTACAGAAATCGTCTGATTGCCTTTAAATGGTTGTGCAACAAAATATTAAGTTCAGTGTATCATCCTTTTTTGTCACGACCAGTTTGAATAGTTTTTCTTTTAAAAATAATTTTAACTAAAATTTAAAATCAATGTTTGATTTTCTTTTATCTATGTTTCCTTTTTTATTGCTTATCAGTTTTAGATATTTCTTTCAGCATTTCAGTGACCTTTGTTGACTTAGATTTTTAATAAGATAATAAATATATACCAAAAAATTGTAAAAAATATATATCTTCACTTTTACAAATCATGCAATATTTTCCTCAAATCAAATACAACCTTCTCATTTAAGATGAGCCAATGAAGAAGTTAAAAACAAGTACTACTACAATGCTGTACATTAAAAAAAACATGAAAACATGTTTCTTGTCTGAAATATTTTTAGCCACTTTCAAACAATAAAGCTTTCCTTCGTTTGTTGAAAATCCACAAAAAAAGAAGATATTTTTAGGACATAACATATGTCAAGAATTGTTATAACTTTTTCAAAAGGTAAGAGACTGTGTTTCTTGGTTGGTTGTCTTTCCAGAGTTGTTCCCACAAACTATCAAGTGTTGGAATATGAGTCACTGGATACATTGGAGCTGACATTGTAGCCACCTGAAGAACCTGCATTCAAACAAAGACACATAAAACAATTAGTTTAGGGGAACACAGGAAATCCATTACAAACACAAACTATTTAATGCAGTGCAAAGCTTTTGAGTGTAAATGTGTACAGTTTCAGTGTATTTTTATTTTGTTTGTTTTGTAACCACTGTCTTGCTTCTGAATTTCTCTTGGCTTTTTTAAAGATTTATAAAGTCAAGCTCTGGATTTATGTTCATCAAGTTATTTCCTATTTCATTTTGGAAACTGTACACTTCTTCTTTGTAGTATTTAGTTTTCTATTGTATCCAAATTTAGTTTCCTGATCAACTTTATCTTCTGTTTACTTTTTTATGAATGGAATGTTTCTACATTTCTGTTTATCTTAGACAGACARATAGATAAACTTTATTGTCTGTTCCAAAGGTGACAGAAAATCATCTTTAACAGGGCTCAGTGTTAAAAACAGACATTAAAGATAAGTGAAAGACAAGACAAACAAAGACACAGTAAGTACTACAATAAAACCCCTATCCATAGAAAACAACCAAGTTAAAAACAGTCCTAAAAAATCGGAGGGGGGTAACATATCTATTCAGCCTTGTTTAGTAGGGTAATTGCAGAAGGGACAAATGATTTTTAYAGATGTATTTCCTTGCCAGGGAAACTTTATAAAGCCTGCCTGAGGGTTGAAGCTGAAAAAGACGGTGAAGGAAATGTGACTGAAGCCGGGTTCCCACCAAATGCATTTTGAGCAGCTAAACCAGCCACTTTACATGCAAAGTCTATGTTGGACGAGCATCTAGGAGCAGCGCAGCGTGTTGCGGCACGTTTTGCCAGTTTAGAGCAGCGCGCAAGGTAGTGGTAGGATGCGGCAGAGTGTTTTCCGTGCATGCGGCGCGTCCAAAGCAGCGGCTGCTCRACTTCAACAAATTGAACTTTGGCTGCTTCGATGCGCAGCAGCAACCAGTCAAGCCGGGTTCCCACCAAACGCGTCTTGAGCAGCAAAAATACTCCTGACATGTTTTTGGCTGCTTGTCAACAGATGTCCATTCACACCGAACGCGTCTGAAGAYGCGCAATGGGAGGGGCATCTTTGTTGGTTTTTCGGTCTGTTGACGGTTGAAATAAAGATAAAATAAAGAAAATAGCTTTGCTTTATTTACTAAAGAGCAAGCAAACTTGCGCACAGCAGATAATTAATTCACCAGATAATTTAGAGGCACTTTGATGGACTTTTTTTTCCAGACCGGGACCAGACTAGAGGTGCGTAGAGRGAGGAGTGTCTTGGTTTTTTCTGGTCTGTCTTTAATGACGAGTGAAATAAAGATAGAATAAAGAAAATGGCTTTGCTTTATTTACTAAAGAGCAAGCAAACGTTGCGCTCAGCAGATAATTAATTCACCCGATAATTTAGAGGCGATTTGTTCGGTCCGCCACTCCAGGAGCTGTGAGCTGATGGGACTTTTTTTTTGTCCCRAGCTCAGCGAGCTGCTGTCTCATCACATCGGTGCTGATATCTTCAGCCAGAACACCAACTGCAGATAGTCGATTTCAGAGCTCCTGTCCGTCTGTGTCGGRTTCAGGAAACCGTCAAGTGAAAAAAATATTCTCTCCCGATTGGTGGCTGCTGCGCGTCGAGCAGCCAAAGTTCAATTTGTTGAACTCGAGCAGCCGCTGCTTTGGACGCGAGAGATTTGTCCAGATTCTCTGAATGTTTTGATGATATTATGGACTGTTGATGATAACATCCCTAAATTACTTGCAACTGTACGTTGAGAAATGTTCTTCTTAAATGGTTGGACTATTTGCTCACACAGTTGTTTAAAAGTGAACCTTGTCCCATGCTTGTTTGTGAATGACAGCTTTTTGGGGATGCTCATGTTATACCCATTCATGACACAGTTAACCAGTGAAATGTTCACCTGTGGAATGTTCCAAACAGTTAAAAGTTTGAAATTGTATATTTGTGGTTGGTTTCTGGAGTTATTCCTTWGTTCTGCTGCTGTAGGTTTAGACTGCTGGAGGACAAACTGATCACATTTCCTCWCTCTGYAGATGTTTTTAGTCACTCTGCTCTACTTGTTTGTAAAGTGTGTTTTTTGTCTCTCCTCCAAAGGAAAATACACCTTGAACACTCCTTTTGTGTTTGCCTGTGTCTTTCCCATCCCCCAAAACCCAGCCGATCGAGGTAGATGCCGCCTGTCCTGAACCTGGTTTTGCTGGAAGTTTCTTCCTGTTAAAAGGGAGATTTTCTTTTCCACTGTTGCCAATGTGCTGCTTAGGATGGGAGACTGTGACGAAGTGAAGATTCAACACAATTTGATCTTTGCGTACAGTTCCCTGTTGTAGCTTGATACCATTTAAATAAAATGAATTGAATTCAAATTCAAAACAAGTGAATATTTGCAAAACATCAATAAAGTTTGTGTTTCAACATTGAAAATCTTGTCTTTGTGGTGTATTCAATTGAATGTAGTTGTATAAAATCAAAATATTTATTTTCTTTTTTRTGTATATACCTCCTCCTCGTTTAAATATCCGTAGTAAATTTTCCAGACCACTGGATGATTTCCCACCACTGGTGCTCTAAATCAAGAAAAAAACAATTTTATCAGAAAGATGTAAACAATGAACACAAACAAGTAAACAATAAAAAATAAAGACAACTGTTCTTACCCTTGTCCCACCCTGAGATGTCAGTGACTTTATTACTAATCCTGATCGCACCTGAAAGACATTCCTCCAAYGTTAGTGCAATGTTTTTTATAATTATTTAATTGTTAAAAAACAAATTATTTTGTTACATGAGCATTATAACATACTTCATTGCAATTATTAATTTTAAATGAAACAGCAGTAAATCTTTAAAAATATTTTTCTCAGTTATTTGTATTGTATTTTTATGTTAATCAAAAGGTTGACTGGGGAGACATACGTACCTTGCTGTCCAAAAGAGTTCCAAACACCAAAATAAAGAAACCCTTCAGAAAGACACAGAGATAACAGAGATGTTTAAACTTATTCTTATTATACCCCAAACTGTATATGAGAAAATAAGCATATCAGAATTCACAAACAGTAAAAATTATTACCTGCAGTGAGTTAAAGAGTGCAAATGTGATGTTGATTCCTCTGTTTGTGGGCTCTATCAAGATTCCAATTCCTAATCCCCAAGTTATTCCAAAAAATGGTGTGAGCACAGCCAAACTCCTTGCAATGACCATCAGGACATGCCTTTCACCTGCATGTGCAGCATTTCCTCCAACTCTCCTCCTCAATATTTTGTAGAGCACTATACACAGGATTACAAGGTTTATCACCACAATCACAAGTGCAGGGATCACAAAAGCCAGAAGAGCTTTGGATTGGTCCCAGTTGAGCCAACAGACAGTATTTTCTCTGATGTATTCATCCGAGGGTGCAGTTACAGCTATGGTAATTGTTGCAATGATAAGTGGTGCACCATATCCTAAACAGAATCCAATAATCAACATAGCTGCTTTAGACAATCCTCCATCAAAGACACTGACTGTGCGGTAGAGCAACAGTAGGGCTGAGGCTAACATCCAGAAGAACAGGGCGAGATAGAAAAAATGTATAAAAAAGGTTGCTGCTGTACAGGCTGGTGGGTTTTTTACATCTGCACTTGAAATTGCAGCTCCAACAATAAACCAAATGTCTGCAATCAGTAGAGACACAGCAATATTAACTGTGGCAACGTGACGCAGGTAGGATGTGGAATTGTTTGATATTTTTGTCCATACGATAGCTTCAATGATGAGACATATGACCAAGGAACCCATGGATATGCCAACTCCAATGTAGGTTATGAAGTCCAGTACAGGGTCTCTCAGGGTGTACGGTGACATCAGAATAGAGAATGAGGTGGTATGGTTGCAGTTGCAGCTGACAGTTTCATTTGCATGAATTGTCAATGAACAGCCTTCGCTGCTCCAGGCTCCAAGACCATCAGAAAGGGTGAAGTCCCAGAAAACACATTTAGGATCTACTAGTGTATTGTTGATTATCTCAAATGTTAATGTGATGTTATTGATGGTGGTTTGTGGCCTAATAAGTGCAACCTTCCCATTGATGGTTTTGGATGATGAATTGGTGTCATCTCTTGTAGGGAGTACATTATCCATAGAAGCAAATAATACTACAGTTATAAATTTGTTTGTTTCACCAGGTTCTGGTATGTCTACTTCAAGTGAGGAACTAAAGTTTCCATTGAAATTGTTATTGAGTTTGCTTTTATCCAAGATAATGTAAGTTGTGTTGATGTTAAAAGTATCATCAACAACACGGGTTGTAATTTTCTCCAAAGATGCCAACAATGAAGAGCTGGCACTTTCCATCCCAGGTTTACTGTTTCCTTCCAAGTTATTTTTAGTATCGTTTTGGTTGATAAAATCCCAAGAACTCTTTGCTTTGTTAATAGTGAGAACACCGGTGGCTTCCAGGATGTGCTGTATTAAAAGAAAAATATACAATTTTTGATTTAAAACATAAATTTTTGGACAATGTCAATCTCAAAACAATGTCACCTACCTTTGTGGAAATTTCAGTTATATTAAAAGATGATGACAAAGATCTGCTTGCGACATTTCTGAGAATCTCAACAATGGCATATATGGTAGCTGCAGATTGAGCTATTTGGTCAGTATAGTTTTGAGTCACATTACTGAATTCCTCCAAGAATGCTGGTAGTGTGAGCGAATTCAAAACCTGTTACAATAAAAAGAGAAAAGTTTAGAATTACTTACAGTATTATTTCAGTGTTGAATTTCAAGTTAAGGAACTTTTAATTTTGTAATAGCCTATTTTGTGGATTTTCAACATCATACTTTTTTATAAAATGGAATTCAATTTAAAATTTTGTTAATTTGTTTGTCCTTAAGCCAAAAAACAGCTACAAATGCTGCATTTTATGATACAGGTGGTATGTTTTTATGAATTCCAATGACATAAGAGGACATAGCTGAGATTAATTAATTTGTTCTTAAGCCAAAAAACAGCTACAAATGCTGCATTTTATGATACAGGTGGTATGTTTTTATGAATTCCAATGACATAAGAGGACATAGCTGAGATTGCATGCAGTGGTTTTTAAAGGGATCCCCGATTAGTTGTAACAGTAGACTTTATTTGATAAACATATGTTTTAACTGTAAGATAAAGACTGTAAAAATACTGTAGGATGTTTAGTTTTTATAATTTTTAAAAATATATTTTAACACGGACGGAGCCATTTTATTTGCACACAAAGCATTCTGGGTAAATGATGACGTGGATAGGTCCCCAGTGCGAGGC